GTGTTTTCACATGATATTGTATAATAAGTATACTTTTTCCAGGTAATTATATACAAATTCCCTTCAGTGGTTTGCATAAGAAGGATCAACCCATTTGTTTTGAAGAATACTGTTCCTTAAAAANGCTTAACCTTATCGGAATAAATAATCAGTTTGGGATGGATTTGTTGTACCGAGCAACAAAGACCTCTCAGGTCACTTGGAGTTTTCTCAGACGAAAACTTTCGTTAGGACGGAGGGAAAATAAATACTTTAAGATGTTAACATTTATTTTGATCTCCTCACTAGCTACAACGTAAGACAACTGATGTTACGCGGTAACGGCTTGAACGACAAACTTGGGTCAGCGTTGTATCCAGTTGTCCTGATAGATTTACGATTTATGACCCTGAATTTCTCTTATCAGATTGGCTTCTAAGACTGAGTTGCGTCATTGATTGAACAACCACTGGGGATTGTGTTCCGTTGTGACAGGGACCGATTCGTTCTGCAGTGATCGTAGGATCAATAATTTTGCAACGGAATTAAACTGATTCACGACTTACTAAATCATGTGGATAAACTGTCTTGAAGGCGGTTTTTGTGAAGAAATTTCTTTACGATGTATCACATCAGGCGGTTATATGTGTAAGGCGATCATAGTAAGGATATCTGATTGACCGATTAAAGCTCAGTTTTTCCAGTTCACCTTTGACCTCTCACCCTCTCCACGACCATAGCACTGACTATCATATTCGTTTGCTTTGCTCGCTCACCTATGTCATCGTTATGATCTGAGCTTTAATCGGCCAATCAGATATCGATACTATGATCGCCTTATATATGCACCCGCCTGATGCGATATATCAAGAAGAAATTTTTTTGCTAATACTGTTTCCTACATTGCCCATGTGCATATTCCACGATTTGAAACTATCGTGAGTTGAATAGCTTTTGTTATACTTCAGTTTGATGATCAAGTGAATCTGTTTTTTTTATTACACACTAGTTTGTGACGAACAGCAGACAGAGTGCACCCCATAGTCACGAAGACCTGCTGTTCAGTGATGGTGACCGGCATCCTGATCCCCGGAACTTGGAGTGACGAACCACTTAGGGCTCCGCTAGGTCAGGCGTGGTGTAGAACCGGGCGACTGTATAGCGGCCTACCACCAAAGTTGGGTGGCGGTGGCGGGGCTCGAACCTCGGACCACAGGGTCCAAAGCAAAGCTGCGGTCAGAACTTTGGAACTGTAAGTAGAGAACAAAAATTTTTGGATATGTTTGGCAGACAATAGCGAGGTATTCTACGGTGAAAGTTAAATAGTGGAGAACTAAGAATGCATCGGTGTTATAGCTAAGAGTTAGAATGAGGGTAGCTCCCGCCATTAAGACCACATTCTCAATCAGAGGTCATTTCATGCCCTTGTCTAATCATGCACAATATTTCAACATTCGAAGCTACGTTTTCTCGTTAGAAGCTTTCTTTTTAACCACCTTCCGCCCTTTATTTATCCACAGAAGCACCGGTGTTATAATGAATGAAGCTCAAGCTAGCGGAAATTTAGGAAACACATTGAAGATGTTAGGAAAATACGACAAGGCTGTCGTATGTTTCAATCGCCAGCTGGATCTAGCTCGTCAATTGGAGGACAAGGTAAGTGGTTCACCGTAGTGGAGCATGTCCTGTTTATTGTATTTAACTAACGCTCAATTTTTGCCTCCGGTCAGCAGGATCTCATCATTTATCTTCACGTGAACATGAGTCTGTTGTCGTTGTTCACGGTTCCCATATGCTGGTTACAGAGTTGTTATTGCGTAATTTTGTTTGCGATTCTGTACATATTCTCCTGGTTAAAGGGGTCACTATAGACTTATGCATCCAGTACTGGAGATGTAAAAACTCAGATCCCATAATATTTACAAACCTTGAGATGTGGTATGCCCACGCTTACGTTAGATCTTAAAAATACATCTTTTGATCACACAGATTGAAAGTTGACTACCCTATTTCAAAAGAGATAGAGCGACGTACAATCGCATATATAGGGATCGCTGACATCGGGGCAAAGTTCACCGTACGTCGCACGCGCTTACACCAACCTACACGTTTGCTCAAGTGTCTTCAGATCGTTTGCTCAACTATTTTGATAATTTAGGTTGCACCGGCCTATACAATTACACTGAACGAAGAGAGATAATACATGAGCACAGTACAGTCATTGAAATATACTGCTCAAGGGAAAACTAACTGAGAAAGCATCGAGAAAGCAAACGATTGACCAAGATAGTTCTGTATCAGGTGACATGAACAACATCACAGGGATTATATCAGGAGTAGCTTGAAGTCAACCTACTACACTTTCTGTTGCTCAGAAAACAACTTGCTGATAGACAACAATCCTAACCACAAAAGTAAATGTTTGGGTTTTATATCACATGCTACAGCGTATCACAGGGCAAGAACCTCAATCGCGAGAACCTGTTCCCCATCAGTAAGAGTCTTTGCCCTAAACAGAAATTTACATTGCTACGGGGAAAACGCAGAGAATAAATATAATTTTGTACCCAGTGGTTAGTAATAACTGTTAATTTGTTTCATTTGTTTGCCAAATAACTTCAGTATATAAATACAAACGACTGTACAATTGTGTTAGTCACAGTAGTCATAGTAGCAGATTATTACTCCTGAAAGCTGATTATTGGCTTTATTGGACTTCTTGAATCTTGCCTATGTTTCAGTTTTGTACAGTTGCATCTTTCTGCCACAACTTATATAACACCTGCGTGGATCGCATCTGCTCACCGCACGATCACGTGCACTATTGATTTTTTATACATACAAACTCATTCTCTCAATACCACAGCAACTGGAAGCTCGGGCTCTGTACAATTTGGGCAGTGTTTTTCATGCCAAAGGCAAACAATGGGCCCGTCAAGTCGGTCAATCAGATCCCGGGGAGTTTCCTACCGAAGCAGCTGAGGCCCAACGTAAAGCATTGGACTACTTCACGTAAGTGATTGCGTCGTGATCATTTGTGTAACCAAGTTTTACAGGTTGGCCAATAAAGTGATGATGTTGGTCATATTTGCTGCTGCCTTTCGATACAGTAATCAGTGTTAAAAATTTCAAACTCTGTTGTATTGGAGTAATAGAGGGGTTAATTTGTTTACATATATATATTTGATAATAAGTAGTATGTGAATGGCTGAACAAAATTTCCCTGGAAGCACGCGACTGGTTTCGCGGTCCTTATCGCTCGTCAGGCATACGTATCCGATAATCTTTTGGGAGTTCACTCATATACAATCAATCTCCTACCCCTAGGGAATTCCAAAAAGTGGGTAAATATCAGGAACTACGACATAGCAGGGTCACCAGTAGTAGGTGCTAATAAGTAGTATAGAAATCGGTTGACGTTGCTCATCTTCGATCAAAGACAAAACACACTTTGTACGATGTTCGTTTCGGAAACATTTACTGGAATTTGTTTTGTCTTTGATCGAAGATGAGCGACGTATCATGAAAGCCGAGATGGATATTCTCATGCATCTGGTCAAGAAAGCTTGGGTGTCTGTGCACCCAGCCGTACTGATCAACGCTTTCATGAAGTAGGGTTCAAATCCACATTGATTCAGCCGGTGATGCAGCCACCAGAGGATAAATGCGATCTGATCGAGGACTTTACACATCACGTATCAAATCTCTTTTTAGTCATTAGATGAATTCGTTTCGCATCAAGCTAAGCATCGCAGAGAAGATGACGAATGTGACGCAGTGAATGCGCTGGAAGTTATCTCAATCCGAGAGGCGCAGAAGTTATTGGATCAATTGAAGCTCTTTGCCTTGGCCAATGCTCGGTGTTCGGGTCGATTATTGGAGTGTACCATTGATTTAAACAGCGCGCTTGTTGATTTCCAACGGAGAGCCAAGCTTAGACAGACGACGATTTATGATTTTGCTAAACACACATGTTCCTAATCTGCGAAGTTTTTTTGCTATTCTGTGGGGCACTGACCTGAAATGTGAGTCACTCGAATGTGGTCATTTTTTCTACAGTGGTCACCAAAGCCGCGGTCATTCGGTTTATCGATGGGCCCTGTAGCATAAACGGGTGAAAGATATTCGCGGGTGACTGGTAAGCGGGTGAGTGGAGTGAGATGTCAGATCCGAACGATCGATAAACACCGTCACGCGGACGCGCCTGTGTGAATGAATGAACGATACTCTCACTTGGCCTAGAGCACCGATTAAATT